CGGACCATCTTTTGCTCCACTTTCTTCTCCAAGCGTTGCCATCCGACGTTGTCAAACTCTCATTTAAAGCTGTCTTTACATGGTAAAATTAGGAGCTTTTAAAGTAGGAATAATAGTCGTTATTCAAAGGAAGTCTGAAAAGGTTTATATATATTTCCTCCATGTCCTAGGAACATTTTGGAGAAACATTTATTTAGTTTACGAGCTTGGATCTCTGTGATGATCATGCATAGGCAAATGAAAATTATTCAGACCCTGATAAATTTGCTCACCCATTAACGGTCAAAACCTACATCTAATAACATCACTTTGAAGAGGCCATGTTTACCGATCTTTTCAGACTTTTTATAACGTTTTTCAATTGAATTTCAATTGTTTTTCAATTTGAAAAATTTTACCTCGTAAATTTTACTTAGCAAAATAACCAAGGCGTCCTATAACGAACGTTTTGATAGTCTTTTGAAGAGTTATCTTTTTAAATTTGGGAATTTTTGAAAGGTTTTCATTTTTCAACAATCGTTGCTTTAAGTGGAGCTTCGGTTTGCGACATCGCAGATTTTCAATGCACTCAACCCTGTTTTTCTGCACTTTTTAGTCTTTGTGTTGTGACTAATCATCGGCATACCACAACTATTTGTGTAAATTTTCTTCGCTCTCCGAAGAATATTCCCTGGGTATTTCATTTTGAAATTCCAGGTTATTCCTATATAAGTCCATAAAATGGAGCAGACATTTTTAAACATCGCCGACAAAAGGCACGTGTAATGCACGGGTAATGCAAAGGGGTCAATTTATTTTACGAGGAAATTCCGTATGATTCCTTGCTCGGAGATGCTTGTTTCCGAATATTTTTCGGTCGGTGCGGCAACACAGCGCAAAATTTGTGTCGTCGCGTCGCTGCTTTTGCACGGTGCAGATACATCCATTCTGCAACAGCCAACATCTGCGTTTTGTCTGTGGCGAATTTTGAAGCCTTCGCACGGTTGCCGAATTATCTGAACGACCTTTGTTTTCGAAATATTTGAATGTTTCGCAAGAAAGAAGCAATCACCGGTACTTTGCATATGCATAGTGCCCGTAGAGACATCCATGCTCCATCCATCCATGCTTTCCAAATGGACCAGTAGACAAAGTGCATTTTCTTAAAGTTTGATTATATACAATTCATCGACGAACGCTCATTTTATCCTTGCGAAACTTATTGAATTCACAACCGTTTTGAGTAAGTTGCGATCTTGTAAACTGCGACTCTCTCAGTTTTGCATGAGGATACGATGACCAAAGCAACAACAAAACCACAATCTGAACCGCGCGCTTTGGCTCTCTGTTTTGAAGTAAGACTTACGGACAAAAAAAATCTTGAAACGCAAAATAATGTTCTTCGGGCATTTTTTCAAATAACGGCTCGGTTGAAGACTCCATAATGATGAACATTTTTAGTCATCAACATTCTACAGGGCCACTCAGAAAGGTTACAGGAGAGCGCCTTCAACCCACTGCGTAATCTTAATGCGAAATTCTGATACCACTATTCGTGCGTCACGACAGTCATATTGCATACCCGGCAAATTGAAGGCAAACCATTGACCCAGGCGACAGGATACGAATTTCAGCAAGATGATACGTGTTTTTAGGGAACAAAACCTCGGGGGGGGGGGGGGGGGGGTGCCCCACCTGGCATTCAATAAGCCCAGCCTTAGAGGGTGCTCCACCTGACATCCAAGAATCTCAACCTCTAGGGGCTGCCCCCCTTGGCATCCAAGAAGAACGGTAAAAACAGTGTTAAAATACGTCGAATACGATTACCTCTGTAAGACCTTTCGAAGTATTTTTTTTCGAGACCATAAAATATTCCCTCATTAGGACGGTAAGAATTGGATTTTCACTTTTAATGGACCACTAGACAAGGTACGAATTTAAGCGATCTGATACATGTTTCTTAACCAGAATTTCACGTAGAAAACGATCCACACAACGAAAATCACTGAAACCAACTCCTAACGAAGATATTAACGTTTTTATTTCACATTGGTTACAAGGAATTTGAACTGCCCGCTCACAAGAAACTCAAAGCTCTACGTGAGTCAAATCGCCCACTACAACGGTCTCAGCAAGCTTCTCAATCGAGCAATGCTCATTTCCCACCATGTGTTGTTCAAACTATTAGCAATTTGCTATAACTGAGCCAAAGCGTCAAGATCGAGGTTGCCAGATTTTTATATCGCAGAGGCTGTCATATGAGAACGTTTAGCGCTCGATGTGAATCAAGTAGAGCATTGAGTCTTCATGAGCGGATGGTTTGAATTGACGCATCAAGAATCATTAAATATCTTCGTCAGGAGTTAATTTCGGTAATTTTCGTTGTGTGCATCGTGTTTTACGTAAAATTTCGGTTAAGATACATGTATCAGAATGCTTAAATTCGTACCTTGTCTAGTGGTCCATACGATTACCTCTGTAAGACCTTTCAAAGTATTTTTTTTCGAGACCATAAAATATTCCCTCATTAGGACGGTAAGAATTGGATTTTCACTTTTAATTTTGAAAAAAAAACAACAACACAAGCCTTCTCGCTCAAAAGCGCTATCATGTTGCAAGGCGGATCTGCAGAAGACCCGGAGACGTTTTCAAAAAGTATGCTCCGCTTTCGGGGCGAGACGCTGGAAAGAGGAAACAATGTTCTCCGGCGGACAATTAATCATTTCATTTTTCAGCTTCGGGGAGGACGAAATCCCTTTCTCTCCCCCCCCCCCCCCCCCCCCCCCCCCCNGTCGCGAGTCTCCTCAGTGTACACAAGGATTGTTTGCTCCAACTTTAATAATAATGTTGAAGCGATTATATTTTTATCCTTTTATGCATCTGGGGATGCACCAATTATCGTCATAGCGCCATTACGACATCGTTGCCCGCTCAACTGGAAACACCGGATTTCTCGACACATCAACAACTGGGTTGCATTTTGAAAACAGGAACCAGGAGCGTTGCGATGTTGCTAAGATTGTGCAGCTTCTTTTGACTCGGAAGAAAAACCTGATAATTCAGTAACAGTTTCTATTTTACCCGCTAAAAACTGTAAATTCTAGATAAAAATTACCATGTAAATATCATTTCTTTTATGATTTCGATAATTTTATTGCAAAAGATGAAGTTGCACGATCTTAACAACATCATTGTAATGCTTCTGGTTCCTTTTTGCAAAATGCAATCCAACTTAAAAACGTGATCTTAGTTGGCGGCCTTGATTTTTTTGTTTTTATTTTATTGTCAGCTCTAACTTTGAAAAATATTCTGAGTTTCAATGTCTCTTTCACCGTGGGGCATTTTTTTTTTGGGGGGGGGGGGGTACGGAGATCACATTTTGACACTTTAAAGTTTCCCAAAGAGTTAATTATTTGGAGGAAAAAACAAAAAATCCTTAAATCCACAGGTAGAGGATCCTTTTCTTCCCCTCAAAGTTCTATTAAAAAATAAACGTCAGAAAGAGCCATAATGAAAAATTGAGCGTCGCCGCCATTTCACATTTTGGAATTACATTTTCAGAAACTATTTTAAAATTTTATTTCCTCAAGCACATGGAAGCACAGCTGAGGATATACCCCGATGAACAATTTATCTTAGTTTTCAAAAGGACCTTTAACGCTTCTGTTGCGCCTAGTGTTCCCTAAAATTTCAGACTTTTACATTGTGAATTTTGGTACAGTCGTATAAATTCTCGTAACGATCGCTTTCCCTTTCGGATGTTATCATCGAAGTGTAAAAGGCCAAGTTTCCAGGGAACTCTTCATTTGAAGGACACACTGCCACGATCATATTAGGATCTCTGTGCGAAAAACATAACTCAATAATATTGATCCACGCCGCCACGGCAAAGTTAAGAAAACTCAATGGAAGTTTGCAAATAACTTGAGGAAAGTTCGCTGAAAATTTTAAGCGAGACTTCGCGGTTGTACTTTCGCGGGAACAAAGTCTCATGGTTGTCACGATTGCCTTTCCGTCCCTTCATTGTCTTTTTGTCAATTAACATTAAGTCAGAGCGTAATAATGCCCTCCAAGACCCTCATTTTTTTACACGCAACCCAACTTGAATGGGAAACTTTTTTCTTGTTCACAATTTTGGAACCCTCAGCGGAGGGAAATGTCAGGAACACTCCTTTCTGCCCCTCCTTCCTTTCGCTTTTAATCATCTCCCTCTCTCCGTGGGGTCTCCTTTTATCTTTTTCATCGAGGATTAAACATTCTTAAGCCCGTTTGCGAATATTTAAGTTGTATGTGAGTTGAAAAATAATTTATGAAGACAGTACGATTCAAGCGCTATTTGAGTATACTGAAAATTGACAGGGAAAGAAGAGTCTTGAGTCCGCAGATTGAAATGGAAAGTTCGGTTCTTTGAGCAGAATGCTTGGTGTTCAGTATTGATAAAGCTCTTCGGTTTGGAAAATGTTTGGTTTGTGTATCTGGACGTTATTTTCGGTTCAGGCCAGCATGGTAGGTTTTATGAACTGAAAAGTTGGTAGCTCAAACTAAAATTTCAATTTTATGCACCAAATAATTCAGATCACCAAGCGTTCAGATTCATTGCAGCAATATTTGCAAATTTTTTGCGATTTGTCTCACCGAAAATTTTGATACTGTTACCTCATCTCATTCGTATTTTTATCACAAAAGAAGTTTCATTTCAGATACCAATAAATTCATTCGGCAAAACGAATATATTTGCGAATCATTTCCATGACTCCTTGGTAATAGTCAAAATTATCAAACCTGCATCCCTGTCTTTAAGACATCTAATATCTTATTGCCAAGCTTCTCACAATATTTTCCCCTGAATTAATATATAGTCTGATGTTCTTGTGTGTATGCTCTTTTTAATTGGTAAACAATTGTTCCTTAATCTCCTTCCATTTACATAATGCTTTTTCAAACTCTTATGCGCCCTTTAACAAGTTCTTAAATGTATTTTTCTGTTTTCTTGCTGCTTCTTTTGGATTACTAAAATGTAGACGCCCAAAACAAGAGTTATCGCAACAGTAAGTATCGTAATTTTCTCTTCTTTGTTTTTCATTTATCATCTTCATTCACTTTTTTGTAAATCGAGACTATTCACTAACTGCTCTTTAATTGCTTTATCGTATTTTTGAAACCAACTTTGCTAGTATCACAATATCCTCACGAATAATTAGGGTTTATCGTCGCTTGTTCATACTCATGTTGCACTACGTTTAGCAATGGATCCAAAAAAGTGGATCGCGCAGACCTGTTAAAATTTTATTGTCAAATCCAACACGCTTTTTCAGACTCAACTGAAGTAAGTCTGAAATTTCTATCCCATAGTATAAAGAATGAGATATTCCTAATCTCCAACGCTTCATTTCCTTTACAGTACATCAGTATGACATTCTGAAATTTTGAATTGTGTTTTACGAGCTTTTATACGAGCTTATTCTCAGTGAGAATGAGACATTGAGAGAAGAATGAAAGGAGAAAATGTTCGTATAGGCAAGCTTCAATTTAAATTCAACTATTTATTGTGCGACTTTGAATGACTCGAAGTTTTGCAGTCTGGCGTCACTTGTCTTACTCTACGATATGAAATCATATTAGTAACGTGTAACGCGCAAAGCGGGGGTAGTCCAGCGAAGCGGTCAGGGGGTGTTACCCCCTAAGTTGCCTAAATTCGCACACCTCATCAGTTATGTATTTTCTCAATTTTTTTCTTCGCACATTTTGTTTTATTCATACGTTGTAACTGCACCAAAAACCCACCCCTCCACCATCGGCGAGTAGTGCTTTGCGAAGAATTGATCAGTCAGCTATTAAAACTAATGGAAAAAGATCGATCATCAGGAACACCATAGAAAGCGATTGTTTACCATAGTTTCAAACGGTAATATATCGATAGTCGATTATTCACGCCTCATTACTGTCCTCCAATTTCACTCGAAGTCTCAGAAGGTTGATTTTGGATTGGATAGACAAAGCGATGGACATAAAAGACAGAGGGCAAATGGGGCGATCTTATCAGTGGAAGCGAATAGCATGCAATGTAAAAAGGAGGCAAATAAGAGGCTAATCAACGGCAACCGACAAGCATAAGCGGATCCAATGGGGTACCCGAAAAGAAGGAGGAAGAGAAAGAAAAGGAAAATGAAGAAAAAAGGAAGGCACGGAAGAAATAAGATGAAGGAAAAACGCTTTCATGATTAAATTGACTCAGAATGCAAATTAGACGACTAAAAAATTCAAAAATTCTCTGGGGGGGGGGGGGGGTTCCTTACGCCTACAGTTCGAGGTGTCTAGATCCACCTGTGCCGACAAGAGACCCTACGGTAAGTCCATAATTTTCCCTCTTAGTCCAAAAGAACCACCCGTTACAACCAATAAGATCGCCCCGTACTCCTTAAGTCTTCTTTGTCTATAGCTTTGTCTATGAATTTCAATAATCAACCAGCTGGTGCCGCAAAGTTGGCATCCGCGCGTAGCCGACTTATTCCGATTCGGAGCCCGTTTTCTCCGGGAGGGATGTGTTCGGGATTAGTCTTATCTGGAGCCGGTGTATGCTTCTCATGAGGGATTAACTTCGGTGGCAACCTCCCTCCCTCCCCCTCCCCGCCTTGGTTGCCGAATAGCTAAGAGGGTAAGAAACCCGTCCCTCCTCCCTCCTCGCCAACCGAGACAGTGGCGTAGTGTGCTTTGCGATAAATCGATCGATCTGTCGTTTAAACCCGTGGGAAAGGATCGATAAACGGGGTGTTCGCGACGAACACTTCGACAATCGATTCTTTGGCATAGCTTCAAATGGGGGAAATATCGATAATCGATCATCTGTATATAGTTCTCCTGTCGCGTTGCCGTTTCCGCTGAAGGGTGACTCGGTCGAGAGTTGGTCGGCATCCCCGCTCCAGTATCGTCAATTAATTTCAGTCAATCAATCCGCTAATCTGGGCCGCGATGTCACAAATGGAGGCATTTTGTTGCTTCATTAAGCATACGTGTTTATGTGAATGAGAAGTGTGAGCGTCGACTCAAATGAATACTTCAGCTGAAATTAATTGATCGAGCCCGGGCACTTCCGGAGGTACACGTATCTCAAATTTCAGCGTTGCGAATTTCCGGTCTCGTTTCAGTTGGTAATGAATGGAGGGGACGTGCCCATGAAAGTCATCACGGGTTCTAAAATTTGTCGAAAATTTACCGTGCACAAAGAGAGTTTTTTTCGTGGCAAATACTGTTTAGTAGCATAACTTGAAGACTTTCGCTCAGTTTTGAAGTTTTAGCACGTTGTTTAGGCAGTATTCGGAGTTCTAAGTCGAGAGTTAAATCGCACCCTGAATGTTACGATGACAGTTTTTGCGGTGTGAAAATGTGACAGCATTAATATCGGCGCTTTGGCTCAGCTGTTGCAAGTGTTTACATTTTAAACAACAGAGGGTAAAGAAGGAACTCTGCTAATTAGAATACATTTTGCCATAAGATTTTCTGGCTCTTCCATAAAAGCATTGCATTGGAAAACCAATGGCAATTATGTTGTTTCTAAAATGAGCCAGGAATAGGTTCCTAATCGCAAAATGTAATTTAAAATTGAGAATCTTGCCAAAGCCGTTGTAGTGCGCAATTTGATTCACTAAGACTTTTATATTTCTCGTGAGCGGAAAATTCAAATTTTTGCGGGAAACACAAATGCCAAACAAAAACGAGATTATCTTGATTGAAAATTCTTTTCAGTGATCGCCGCACAAATCATGTTTTACTTGAAACGTTGAAGAGGATGCATTTGTATATGGACTGCATTTTGCGATTTGGAACTACAATATTTGGCTCAGTTTGTTTAGAAACAACGTACGTACCATTAGTTTCTTCATGCTCTGTAGTGAATTTACAGATATGCTAGAAATTGTAGTTCCAAATTGCAAAATGTAGTGCATATCAGAGTGCTTAAATTTACACCTTGTCTGGTGATCTATTACGCACAACTGTACATTAGTACGGTGTGCAGGTATGTGGTCTCGCAAAAATACCTCGAGAATCATGGTTCACACCCTGTTCAGAACAGTGGCGAGGTTTTAATGATTGATTATCGCTTTTTCCCCCATTTGAAGCTGTGGTAAAGGATCGATTATGGAGGTGTTTGCAGTCTATCGATCCATTCTCATGGGTTTAAATGACGGATCAATCGATGTATCGCGAAGCACGGCATGCCCCTGGTTCGGAAATCAATACGGCAACATGGCAACATCGCGGAGCAGCCAGGACGTTTTGACAAGGACGAGACTCGCCAAAGCGGGAGGGCGGGAACACGTCGCGTCGCCACCCCCTCGTCCTCGGAGGGCGGCCGGGGGTGGAGTGGCCGGGGGAGGGCGTGTGAATAAATTTATACTTCTTAAAACTGTGTGTCGCGCTCATTTTTAACCGTGTTCCCAGGAGTCTAGATTGATTGCAGCCTTTGACGGCACGCTCGAAATCAGAGGTGCCTTATCTGCAAGCTCATAACTCGCGCCCATTTTTCTCCGACCGGCCTCGCCATTGCCGCCTCCACCCCCGAATACGCTCGTTTTCGCGGATTCCCGGGTCTTGGTCGCAATTCCGTCGCAGCGCCTTCACAAACGTCTCGCTTTCCTCCTCGTTTTTTCTAGAAGGCTCGAGTTGGGGACCTATAACTCGAGGTTCCTTGCTTTTTGTAATTTGCCGTAGACGCTCAGAAATCGTAGGTAATTTTCAAGCGGTAACTAGGTTACAAGGTTAACTAGTCATATTGCAATAATTCGCATCGACAGAGGCAGAGGCGACATCGGTAAAGAACTTCAAAGCGCCATCTCAGCGCGGAGTGCCTTCAAATCCGGTGATACTTCCCGCATCGCCGGTAAGTTAGTTTAGTTGCCTATTCAAACCACTGAGCGTACTTGCGATTCGAGACAAGTGAGACGGAGGTCTTCTCTTCGGATTCAGACCGTCCAAAATCGAAAGGGCGCTTATACATTCGCGTTGATTTTATTTCACTTTTGGCGGGCAGTTCGAACAGGGTTCCAATTCTGCACAAGTCGATTCTGATTTGTCCGATTTTCGCCAATGCAAATTCCAATTCTGCTATATTCGATTCTTATTGGTTCACCATTCTCCACGGGCAAATTTCCCGCGAAGACTAAAACGAAACCAACGCGGTCTAGCGTTTTTTTTTTTTTTTCGATTTTTGGTGCTTGAATAGGGGAAGAGCATTAGTTCGTTTCACTCACCCCGCTCATGAGTGTGCTAGCTGGCCTACAATGGATCGAGTCAATAGGAGAGGTAGGACATGATATTTTTGACTAAAACTGCAAATTTTGACGTTTATTTCGTCATATTTTAAATTTCAAGGGACGCTTAAAAAAGAAAATTTCACGACGAAAGAAATTGAACAACTTTTAGAACATAATAGTTTTGTATAAACGGAGTTATAAGCGTTTACATTTTCCAAATTTTGTCCGACCTTTCGCAGTAGCTCGTTCCACTGTGTGGCGACAGCAATCAAAAGGGAGAAAGGATATGTTTGTGTACAAATCTTACTCAGTAAAATAAAGTCATAAGAGTAACGCTTGATGCTTAACGCCAGAGGCGCGAAGTGCCTTGTGGGGTCGGACCGCGAAGCGATCAGGAAGAGTGCACCCTAGTATTTGTGCAACTTGCTCATTTTCAGCCAGACTCAATGAATTTATTGGCAGGGACACGTTTTGCAACAATGTAAATGCCCCATATATTTTTCTTCGTCGCTATTCACGCCCTTTACGGCACTTCGCATTTCTCTCGCCCTCTTTTTGTCATTTTATTATTCCTGAACGGCTCTCAATTCGTTAATGATGTTATCGCAGTTTCCTCAGCTCGGAAAGGTCGACGATGATGAATAAACTCATTTTAAAATCGGAAGACAAAGGTCCTTCAAGCAACGTTTCCCCCAACAATCATCGCTCAGTCTAATAATCATCAGTTGCTCCGGAAATCGACTTCCAATCGTTTTGTTTCCTTGTCCTGAAGGATGTCCCCAGTGAATTAGTAATCACACCGTTGCCGATTCCTTTTATTCCTACCAGAGAGTTTTAATTTCATCAACCTTTACCAACCCCACCGTCCGAAAAAGCAGCCGACATTTTGTGTTAATTCGGGAAGTAGAACACTAAGATAGCTAAACGTGCTGTATATATTTTTTGGTTATTTTTTCTTCGGGTTACATTTACCAAATTTTTGGTTTGAAAATTTGTAGCCTCGTTAAAAATCAGGCGCGAACCGCCAGAATCGAAATCTCATTGGTAATACTGCTGTGCTGAGGAAAAATGATGTATGAACCTCCAGATGTTGCTAAATTTCTCTTGATAAAATAGGAATTTCCTGAAAAACTTGAGATAATTTTTCTTCGCATTCTTCGAGGAATTTTGTCCTCAATTCGATCTGAAGTATCTGCAAATCTTAAAGCTAAATATTCATAACTTTCCTTAAATGAAAAAAATAAATATTTTATCGCGAGCGATTTGGCGACGTTTGGAGGCTCATACGATGTTCTTCCTTAGCTCGGCAAAGTAGTTCAAAGCGCTAGCTACTCGCAACGCAAGTCACAATATCCGCGTGTCATCGAGAGAAACAAGAATACATTAATTCATCAGGACTTTTTTTTCAGCCCTAGAGTAACCTACAGTTTTGCTCGATTTAACCAAAAATTTGGTCGATCAACCAAATCCCCTTGGGTTTAGGTAATAGAAATAAATGTAACCCAAGTTGACAATACTTGTACATTTTTAACTATGTATAGAAGTAGAAGTATTGAAAAAAGCTCAATATTGAAATTCTGAGAAATTAAAATAATCACTAGTCGAACCTAAGACTTCCTCCTCGAATTAACGAAATTCTCGTCGCGGGTTGCATACCAGCCCCTCAAAATTCACTAAAAAATCACAAAAAACTCTCTCAGCCAGGAAGAGACTGAATAAAATTTATTTCTATGTCTGAGACTTGACTTAAAATTTGCAGAGCTGTTTTCCAGGAAGCCAGCAGTTCCATGATATCACCATGCAATCGGGTGTAGCACCCAAGTTAATTTGCTGCGGCTCCTCC